CTGCTGCCTTCTCACTTGTAGCAGACGACCAGATTTTGTCGCAAAGCCTTGCCTCGTAATAAATGTTGTTACTTTTTTTTCCCCAAGGCTGCCCTGCACATATGCTTTTGTTGTTTTGCTGACGTTTTGCATTCCGCAGGGTTCTTCGTGCTTTCCTTGTTGAGGAGCAGAAATGCGTGAAACAAGTTTTGCAAGTTAAGGAGAGGCAGAAGAGGGACGAGGTAAAAACCGAGAACAAAAAGAGCAAGAAACGCTCCACCAAGTAATTGCCCATCCAGCAGTCGGTCGACGGGCTGTTGCTGAGTGGCATTGTCGTGAAGTGCCAGTCGGCAAAAACTCTTTCAACAGAAACGATCCTTAAACTGTTGTGTTGGGTTCAAACTATGAAATGCTAAGTATACTTAGTCGTGAAACCCCACATGCATAGCAGGGCCAATAATAACGACTCGCAGGTATTAGCTTTCGTAGGCCTATAAACGGTTGGAGGCCGACTGCCATGTAGTGTAGGGACGATGTGGCCTTTATAGATTCCCATTCAGCCACCTTGCAGAAGCAGGAAGCGCTAGGACGGGTAGTTTAGATAGGTGTTGGGCTTATGGTAGGGCATGGTCCTTTAGTCAGATAGCTGAGTAGATTGAAACGGGCCCTTATAAGGGATTTAGTGTGATGCACGAGCCACGGAGCCCGGTGCTCTGGAAGGCTATATGAGGGGCATATGAGACAGCGACTTCCATTGCCGGCGGTTGGCCTGTAGGCGATAAGCGCTACAGGGATAGAGCACACCGTCGTTGCCCCGGCAGCAGAGCAGCAATAAATGGATACGGGAAAAATATCGTGAGTAATGCAGCGTGGTCCACCTTCGGGCGTTTAGTGGCTCTCCTGGTTTCAGCTGCAGATGCTGGGGCTGGGGGCTCCCGAGAAGCCAGTAGCGCAGAGAACAACAAAAGGGAGGGAAGGGGATTTAGAACTAAATTCAATACTTTAAGGAGTTGATATGTCACTTTTTTGGTGTATGCGGTGGGTTTAAGCACACTCAGCCTCCATATTGGGCGACCATGTAGTGATGAACGGGCTCTAGCTTGCGATGCCGCAGAGCGGCCGTTCCGTTTAGAGAGGCCTTCTGTTGATTCTAGGGTCTAATTTTCCGTACGTATTTAATTTAAAATTGAAGAAGAGCACATGCTAGAGATTTTCAGCATGATTCGGGGCGCAGGGGGTCGGCTGCCAGACCTTGCCGGGGTGTCGATACACAGCAGCCCAGTAGCGATTCCTTTCGTGTGTTCGCGCCGCATGCGGCCTCTCGGGAATATGAGCGTTTCTTTCTTGAACAAATATGGCGTTCGCTCGTTGGCCACCGCTATCCCCGCGATACGAAACCACCGGTCACAGCACAGCTCAGATTGGATTCGCCGTCACATAACAGATCCTTACGTCCAGCGCGCGCAAGAGGTATCCAGCCGAATCTGCCCCGCCTTAGCTTCTAGGATTGGCCTACACGCCGCAGCCACCTATGATATGAGCGTGTGCAACTCCATTGACTGGTGTAGTCCCACATCGCATTGCGTATAACCCCAGTTTTGCTGCGGTCACCGGCCGACCACCCTTAGCAGGTGGATGCGGCGACGCAGCTCTCAGCTACGCAGCCAGATGTAAAGGAGACAGCTGTTAGTGGTATTTGTGTTTGCTTCTGTGTGTTGCAGTGTGATTATCGAAGCCGTTCAGCGTTTAAGCTGAAGCAGCTTGACGACGAATATCTTTTTTTGAGGAAAGACCGCGTTGTTCTTGACTTGGGATGTTACCCAGGAGGGTGGTGTCAAGTAGCTGCAAAGCGCTGTCTAGTTGCAGGATACGAATCCCCTGATCAGCCAAATGGTGGGGCTTCAACTCCCTCTACTTCCCGCGTCATTGGGGTTGATGTTGCCCAGATGGACCCTGTAAGTCCTCCAGGTACTAAAGCAGCTAGGCACGGGTGCTGAGAAAATAGATACATACCTAATACTAGTAAAGGGCTATTTAATTTAGATAGAGTGCAATTAAGTACAATAATACGGAAGCAAACACAAGACCCGCTTATCGTCCGCCATCATCTTCGTCAAGCCCCGCTCCATCATGATTGTCTGTTGTATGCAGCTCCCGAATGTGCAGTTCATTCAAGGGAGGGTCGGAGACGCGAAGACTCTGCATGCAGTGCTGCAGGCGCTGGGAGACCGAAAAGCAGATGTTGTGTTGAGTGATATGGCGCCAGCATGCACTGGCATTAGACACGACGACCACTTCAATTCTGTGGAGCTTTGCCTCTACGCCGCCGACCTAATGGAGCAGGTATCAGCTGCTACACCATCAGAACAGACTCAGACATCTACTGTGGGGTTTACACATATGCATTCACACTGCAACGTGAACCGGCATCTTGGCCTGAATTGTACAGGTTCTGTGCCTCGGGGGGACTTTTGTTGTCAAGATTTTCATGGGGAGTGAAACTGGGAACTACAAAACATACCTCAAGAGTAGATTCACTCGCGTATCGTCCGCTAAACCGCGGTGAGGCTTTCTCTGTGCTCATGCACTAAATAAACTATAAAGTATGCATTGCATGATGTATACACCGTAGAATACATCATATTATGCTGTATGGCTTTATAAATAATAACATAGGGCGATGTAATTTTTTAAACCTGGGTGTCATTCAAAACTCCACTGAATTCTGAGGAAAGCAACAGCACTAACCGCTACTCAGCGACTGAATCAGCGTTGCATCTTGTGTTCGTTTTTAGGGCTTGTCGCCAAGAGTCACGAGAAATGTATTTTGTCTGCATGGGTTTTAAAGGGAGAGACAAGATGTCCCAAGAGGTTCAAATCAAAGGGTCCTTCTCTGCTCGAGAGGGATACGCATAAGGTTCCTCTACCAAGAAAAGAAACTACGAAGATACTTCAGAAGATTCAGAAGAAGTTACGTTGTAAACGCATACGTCTCTTCAGCTGCTCTTGTTCATGCACATACATGCAGGCAAGCTGCAG